CTTCTGCTTTCGGCGTGACTTCGAAGATAAACGAAGTAGTTAAGTTACCGTGATCAGGGTTACAGTTTGGGTAACTAAATCGCTTCCTAAATTGCAATAAAGAGTCTAAAGAGTGTATAGCTACTCGGTTACAATTGTGGAGTGATTTGTAATTTAATTGGAGTACGGTTTACTTTGTCACGAATGAGATACGTGCACAATACAATATCAATTCACTGTTGTTTTTTTTGTTTTGTTTTTTTTGTTGCTATTTTTTACAAATGGTATGAGTTGATACCTAATTGTCGATGCGTCGAACTCTGCCACGCGCGGAGTGGCGAATCCAAACGAAACCGGTTTTTAGCGACCGATATCTCTGCCGCGTTGAAAACTGCAGTGGTAGGCAATAGCAGGCACGCACCTCGATGTCGTGGGAGATTTTCAGAGCGTCTGTATAACCTTTGTACGAGTGATAGATTTGAAACAAATTAGTGACATTAGGAACCTCGCGAAAGCCTCGCGATGGCAGCGCGACGTTTGGCAAGGAACAAAGCTTCTTCAAAACGCCAAAAAAAAAATAAAAAATAAAAAAAAAAGCCCCAAACGTCGGTCACCGCTCTTTGTCACTTCGAGGCCTTAGAGCTCTTCCTATCAGCTATCACTCGATATTTTGTTACTGGGTCACATATGAGCACAGGTAACCACGTGACTCTACCTTCTTTCCATTAGTGACCCGCCCACTCACCGATGGTGGTGATGACGGTGAGCGAGTAGAGGAAGGCCCCTGAGAAGGACCACTGCTGCCCGGTGCCGATCTCCTTGCCGTCATATCCGTCCTTGACGGCCGCGATGAGGCGGCCCTGGAAGTCCAGGATCTCGGAGGACACGGCGGCTGTCCAGTTCTCGCGGTACAGTACGTTGAACCGGTCCGTGATCTCCCAGAGCCGGCGCACGGTCTGCTCCCGCATGAGGATCACCTGGCTCGCCTTCTCCACCTCGTACGGGGCCTCGAGGGCGCGGAACGCGAAGGCGCCCAGGATGCTGTAGCCCACGACCAGGGCGCACAGCCCGACGTGCGAGAACAGGAAGGCCGTGAACCGGCGGCAGCACGTCTTGCACTTGTTCTCGGGCGGCAGCGACGCGTGGCGACGTCGCGAGGACCGCTTGCGCTCCATGCGAGCCCGCGCGCCGGCCGCTCGCTCAGGGCGCCCATGCCCGCCGCGCCACCATCGCTGCCCGAGCTGCCGACGACGATGCTCCTCCTCGCGGGACGCCGGCGCCGCAGCGCCCCTCTGCGCAGGCGCGGGGCTCCGACGTCGCCCCCTCGGCGGCCCGACGCTTAAAATACGGCAGGGCCCGGAGTTCAGACGTCAGCGTGGGCACCGGCCGACGCCGTCGACGCCGCTGCCGCCGCAGCGCCGGGTCCCTCACTACCACTGCCCTGACACCGCGCCAAAAGAAACAGGACGAAAAACTGGCCGCTGTCCGGCCGGCAGAACAACCGCCGAGGGGACCCGAGAAAAGAGCCCGGCGTTTCGTTTATTTCTGGGGGGAAAGTGTTTGGCGGCGAGATGAAATCTCAAGGTTCCTCGGAGCTGGCTCGCTCCGATGACCGGCCACGTGGCAGAGAGAGAGTGACGCTGACGGTCACCTGCTCTCTCAGTGGTCTAGCGAAGGGGATACGTAGGAATAATAACCACCGGTGCTCGCCAGGAAGACGTCAGAGGTTACTTCGCGTCACTCCATTAAATACAAACACTAAAACCTTAATCACAGTGCTCGTTCATCACAAGAGAGAGATGGTGTTCGCTTCAGACCAGGGGCGTAGCCAGGGGGAGGGGGGGGGGGGGGGGGGGGGGCGTATGAGGCTTCAGCCTCTTCCCCCCCCCCCCCCCCCCCCCAAAAAAAAAAGAAGAAATCCAGCCGACCTTATAAATTAATATACACATGCATTTTGACCCCCATACCAGTCTCCTCAGCCCTCCCCCCCCCCCCCCCCTCCCCCCCCCCCCCCCCCGAAAAAAATTCCTGGCTACGTCACTACTTCGGACATAATGACAAAATTATCCGCGTAGACACGCTTCAAGCACGTTCCAAGCACGTAGGAGATGTCATGTGTATGGCTCGAACGTCTCTAGAGACTAGAGGCAGTCCTTTGTATGACCAATGTGACGGGGGAGCCGTCGCACGAGCAAGAAATCTGCCTCAGCTGCAGAATGCCTTTTGTAGGATGTACATTTTGAGTGATGCCGCGCGGCTTAAAACATTCGTTCACCCTGGACTTTACCCCACAGCATTTGGGAAAGCCAATCCTTCCAATCTGCGACGGGCGCTTGGCGAATGAAGTCACAAAAAATACGTTAAAACTAAAAAAAAAAAAAAAACATGAAAGACGTTTATTAATTTTTGTAATGTGAAATTAGTGCGCAGCTCTTGAGGAGGGCGAGGGGAGGGTAAAGAGGGGATGGTAGTTACTTATTTATTTCTTTATTTATTTATTTTACCCTCAGGGCCAGGGGCATTACAGAGGGGAGTGGTAGAAATAAACAAAAGGAACAACATGGAACAACAGTAGAACAATACTTAGATAATAGGGAAAACATGGTTACTAACACTTATACGAAACAGAGCACAATCAACAATTGATGCAAGTCATGAAGGTAACTGATTCCATTCTTTTGTGACTCTCGGAATAAAGGAGTTAAAATATTTATTGTAGCGGCAAGATGGAACGCCTACTTTGTGCTGGAGATCTAGACGAGCTGAAAGGAATGATGGTGGGGTGAATAGCTGATTTCTGAGAACCGGGTTCTGGTGGAATATTTTGTGAAAAAGACAAACGCTAGTAACTCTGCGGCGATGTGCGAGGCTGGGTACAAGTAAAATGTCCTTCATTGATGTCACGCTTACGGTCCGGTTATAATTAGCCAAAATAAAACGTGCGGATTGATTCTGAACGGATTCGATTGAGTCAGTAAGGTAGGTACTACCGGGATCCCAGATGGAGGCTGCATATCCAAGCTTAGAGCGTACTAATGTCTTATAAAGAAATAGTTTTAAGGAAGGGGCCAGGAAAAATTACGTTTAAGATAACCAAGCATGCGGATAGCGTTATTAATCACGTAAGTTACATGCAGGTTCCAGGAAAGATCGGAGCAAAGTATCACACCCAGATATTTGTAAGAGTCTACAAGTTCTATTGGTGTGTTATTAAGATTATAATAGCAGTAAAGGTAGCTTTACGGGTTATGCGCATTAGCTTACATTTTTTCATGTTGAGTTCAATTGACCAAAGCTCGCACCATAGAAAGATAGAATCCAAATCACGCTGGGTGGTTTCATTTGAAATCGAACACGCTTGTCGGGGTGGATATTTCGATTTTCTTAAAAAAATATATATGTAATTGCCCCATTTCTGTAAAGAACAAAACCGCTTTTCAATATTGTTTTTAAAAATATATTTCGCTTCAAAAAAAATTATTGATGGGAGCAGGGTGAAAATCTGTTTTTTACTCCGTGACTTTTCTACCCAGTTCTGTACGCTGATATGAATACGGGAAGCATAGAAAACTCACAGTAATTTTTTGTGATCTTTTATGTTATTTTGACTATTTTTTAGTTCAAAACTAAATAATTTTGTATTTCTGTTTATCGAGGTAAAAAATACCAAACATCGTCTTTTTGACAATCCGGTGACATCTTCAAAGCCTTGTAACTCATGAGTTATTAAATTTGTCGCTTACCAAATACTATGCGGGTGTAGCCCTCTACATGGGCTATCGACGGGCATAAATTTATTTTATTTTATTTTCACTGCATTTTTTATATAGAATTTGAAATATCGTCGAAAATGAAATTAACCGATATTTTGAACCCACTTTATCGAAAAAGGCCATTTTTTTATTTTGTTCAATTTTTTTTTAATTATTGCTGCGGATCTTAACTTTCAATTCGCTTGATGCGATTTCCCCCTTTTTTGTTGTATCTTCTCTAGAGGTGATCGAAATCGCACTCACGTGACAATACGGTGACAACTTCAGAGCCTTGTAACTCATGAGTTATTATATTTGTCGCTTACCAAATACTATGCGGGTGTAGTCCTATACATGGGATATCGATGGGCATAAGTTTAGTTTATTTTGTTTTCACGGAATTTTTTTATACAAAATTTGAAATATAGAAGAAAATGAAATTAGCCGATATTTTGAACCCACTTTATCAAAAAAGACCATTTTTCATTTCGTTCAATTTTTTTATTATTGCTGCCGATCATATGAACTTTCAATTGGCTTGATGCGATTTCCCTTTTTTTTTTTTGTTGTAACTCCTCTAGAAGTGATCGAAATCGCTCCCACGTTCTCAGAACGGCCAAACGCAGTTTCCGCAGGTCGGCTTCGCTGCAAAGACTGTACTGCTTATTTTTGTGTTCAAATGCACCGGGTAAATTCATTTTGATTGAAAACACTCGTGCTTGGCTACATATTGTATTTTCTTAATGTTTTAATGATGGAAACTGACATTCCTTGGTTTGATAGCGGTGCAGCGGATGTTCCATTATCCGACGTCTAAAGCCAGGGCACAAAGGGTGGAGAAAACGGAACGAGCTATTCATGTAGCCAGACCGGGGTCATATATCTGTTTGTGCAATACACACCTTGTAAGGCACGTACATCAAGCCCGGCCCTTCTCCGTTACACCCCGGAAGCATCCGGCATGGGCGCCAATCCATGAGGTGTCTTGTCTTGTCGCGTGCGATCAAATAACCATTTAATTGCCTGCATCTTCATTGTCAGAGTGTATATAAAAAATATGTAATATCACATGACCCCTCCCTTAGAAGAAAAAGCAGTTTGCAGAAAAAAGTGAGCAGTTTGCAGAAAAAAAGTGAGGAAAACGGACTGACTTTACATGAAGCGAAGACAATTTTTTACAGAACACAAACACAAATTGGCGATAAATAGTAACTTTTATTAATTAACGCGAAAGCAGTCACTTGATATCTCTGTAGACTTTTAGTTTCTCCACTTTGTCGCACAGAGCTTAATTCAAAGATTGTACAGCCTTCAGGAATATGAAAAAGCGATTTGACGATTTTTATTTTAGGTGACTTCGGTAGATTTGCTTTGGCTAGGCACACATTGCTTTGGTTTTGGAGAAAGGTTTGTTTTATTTTCTCCTTCAAAATAAAGCGCGTCTGGCCAAGGCGGACTTGGCACCGCCGCATAAACAGCATCGGCGAATGTGTCTTTCATATTGCCGGAGACTGTACATCTCGTACTAATCTCACCTTAGGTTCCTGGCCTGGCTCGCGAACTGTGCACCACACATGTGAGGAGCCAGGCACGTAGCCAGGATTTTGTTTCGGGGGGGGGGGGGGGGGGGGGGGGGGGGGGCGCTTATGACAGAATGCTGTATGAGGGGGAGGGAGCAGAGGAGGTCCCAGCAAAATGGAAGATTTCGGGTGGGGGCCGGGCCCCATGCCCTCACCCCTGGCTACGTGCCTGTGAGGATCGTAATCCTGTGCGAGGACCTACTGAGGCCCATTCTTCTTTTTTGTGCTTCCGGGGAATATCGATTTCTTTCTCAGGTAAGTCGAAAAGCTGAACGCTTCTTGTCATTGTTTTAATTTTTTTTTTTACGAAGTCCTTTGACGTCCGCATCAAGGAGCCGTCCTGCGAACGAAAATTGTGTACTGTGGCGAGGTGCTTCAAGGCTTACAACCTGTGTGTAACACAAACAGATATATGACCCCGGTCTTGCTACATGAAGAGCTCGTTCAGTTTTCTCCACCCTTTGTACTTCGGCTTTAGACATCGGATAATGGTACATCCGCTGCACCGCTAACGATCGGACTAAGGAATGTCAGTTGCCATCATTACAAAATTAAGAAAATACAATATGTAGCCAAGCACGAGTGTTCTCAATCGAAATGAATTCACCCGCTGCATTTGAACACGCAAATAAGCAGCATATTCTTTGCAGCGAAGCCGACCTGCGGAAACTGCGTTGGTCGCCCTGAGAACGCGGGAGCGATTTCGATCACTTCTTGAGAAGATACAACAAAAAAGGGGGGAAGTCGCATCAAGCCAATTGAAAGGTCATATGACCTGTAGCAATAATAAAAAAAAAATTGAACGAAATAAAAAATGGCTCTTTTCGATGAAGTGAATTCAAA